GTCGATGTTAAGCCTAACAAAGACTATTGTATCGTTAAAAATTATTTTTTTATTTTGTACAAACAAAATAAATATATTGAAAAATATAAAAATAATAAAAAATTATACTTCTGATGTTAATTTAGTATCAAAAACGTAAAATATTTGAGTAGCCCAAGACATAGCCAAAGATTACAGCGCCACAGCACTGGCGAAAATTTAAATTTGCCGACTGGAATTCTTTCAGATGATTGATGTTTCGGATGATTGACTTTCGGAAAATCGACGCTCTACTGTATTACATATCAAATATCACATACATTTCAAATATCACATACATTCAAATATATTTCAAATATTACATCAGTAGTTTATAGGATGGATTTGTCTTTGATGATGTAAGATTGCACCCATTGTTCATGTTTTTTCCCTGGTCATCATGAAATTTGAGGGCATTATTATAATACTATTCCTTTATAAGTATTAATATTCATATGGTATAATATTACTGTATATTAATTTCAACTTTCACTTTCTTATTTTTCAAATTATTTAAAATAAATTTTGTTTAATAAGTCAAAATACAAAACTTCTTGCTTTAGGAAATCAGAAATATTTATTATGAAATGTTTTCAAACTCACTTTGGGTTATCTTCAGCATATAAATCAAATGTGGAAAGTTAGTAAAATAATAAGGAAGCATGGCTTCTTCATCTAGTATTACAGAAATCTTATACTTCAGAAAATGAAAATGCTTTGTATAATTACAGGTAACCCCCATATAACACAGCACTTCTATAGCACGGATTCACTCTAACACGGTTCGAGAATTGGTACCATCCGCTGTATAACACGGTACTTTTATAGCACAGATTCACTCTGACACGGTTTGAGAAATGGGTAAAACCCTCGTACAACATGAAATGTAATAAATTTTTACATACTTAAGTACTAATAGTTCACGAAAATAATTTTCGTGAACTATTAGTACTTCAGTGTGTAAATTTTCTTTTCTCGTCTCCATACACATGGTCCTTCGCGAAAATTGTTTCAATTTTGCCATATCTCGACACTTCTGCTTCTGATGTTGCCAGATGTTTTTCCCTTATTCCATTAGTGCTTAGCACCATATAAGGAAATTTATAAAGATCTTTTAACTAGAAGCAAGCAATCTAAAATTACATACACTTTTTGCAAAAGGTAAAGCATGAATCTGAAAATAATGCAGAAAAATGCTGGGAGGATAAGGATAACTTGCCAAAAATAAAATGCTCTTGGTTAATAGTGCTTTTAGTGATGACAAATAAAACATTGTTTAATTTATATTAACATGTATCACTTAAGAAAATTTTAAGAAAGATATTTATCTTAATTATGAAAATATAGTAGCATGTTTTTTAAATTTTGGAACTTAACCCTCCTTTTCGTACTAGTTCTTTGATTCGCATAACACAGCAATTTTTTGGAACGTAACTACTGTGTCATACGGGGGGTTACCTGTATTTGAAAACTATATAATAGTATTTATCAATTTAAAACCATGTCGTGTTCTATTTCTATTGTTTATCCAACACAACGATCACTTGGCTTTCTTTCACCTTTATTCTAGTTGATATGCGCTTACATCTTGTGTTTCGGGCTAAATACTCCCCTCTAGCCCTCTTTTAGCCCGAAACGTGAGATGTAAGCGCGTATCAACTAGAATAAAGGTGAAAGAAAACCAAGTGATCATTAAGTTGCACTACATTGTATTGGATAAACAATATATATAATAGTAATTTCTTTGGATGCTATAAATACATTATAAATAAACACTATCATTCCTACTAGATTTATGCAATTACATAAATCTTTTCCCATTTATTAAGATATCAGAAGCTGCTTTGTTCCTGACTAATCTAATCTAACAATAAACCAAGCATATTTTATATCTTATTTTTTCAACTCAAAATTTTACCTATAAAAATTATCTCACTGAAAATAAATGTTCCTATTGGATTTCTCATCAGAAATGAGCCAGCAAAATTTGTATTCACTTGGATAGAACATCATGTTATTAATAAATACAGAAAGCATGTAAACTTTTAAGTCAGATATGCTATTAAATCTGAAAGGATAATGTTTATATTAAGTTTTTCTTAGATAAAATTAAATATTTAAATACTATAGCCATCAATTATTTAGATATTATTAAATCAAAAAACTGACAGATATCACACCGAAATTTTTCACAAATTTACAAGTAAACACTATGAAAAATCATTTGTTACAATGTCATGTCTCCTAAGCTTGCAGCTTTTTAATATTCAAAAACATTAATAAAAAGAGCCATTATTCATTCTAAGTAATAGAAGGAAATATTGAATTAGATGAGTTAATATATAGCATATACTATATTAAATTCCCTAGAATTGAACTATGACTTTTCTATAAAAAGTCATTATCATCTTAATTTGGCTGCTATTTGAAAAAAATTGTAAACCTATAAATTCCCACTGTTGTCCATCTGTCTGTCTATCCTTAATCTTGAGAATAGAGTTAGACAGATGAAACCCAAGACCAGATATGAAAAGATTGGGGCAGGAGACCCCAATTAATTATATAAGAACTTCCAATACAAACTAAAAGTCATTGTTATTTCAATTCAAAAATTTTCCCCTGAAAGGTATTAGATAGATGACTGGCATGACTTTATTGTTAAAAGAAAAGTATGATGTACAGGGGCAAGACACTACAGTACTAATTAATTACAGTAGAGCATCAATTATTTGAATGCTGATCAACCGAAATGTCTGTTAACTGAAAGCATTCCAGTCAGACTGTGTCTTGATGAATCGAATGTTTTTGATACTAGATTAACTTCTAAAGTATAATATATTTTTTGTTTTTATATTTTTCAATATATTTCAGACAAAAAACTAGCACAAATAAACTGGAACTATATACTAAACACAACAATTAACACCTAAATGCTAATTCCAGCACTGAATGAACAAAAAATTTTAATGCTCGAACGTTTTCGGCCGTCTTTTAGAGGCCCTCCTCAAGAATGTATGAAACACACAAAAAAACAGTTCTATCATTTTTCATTCTATCAGTGTTATATAGGAATGTTCCCAATTCTTGAACTGTGTTAAAACGTTTGGGCATTAACATTTTTTGTTCATTCAGTGATGGAATTAGCATTTAGGTGTTAATTGTTGTGTTTTCAATATATTTATTTTGTTTGTACAAAATAAAGAAATAATTTTTAATGATACAATAGCCATGATTATTACTATAAAAATTTTCATTAGGCTTATCATCAACGAAAATTCAATGCTTTGCATTGAATTTTGAAATTCAATTGAAATTCAATGCAAATCATTAAATTTTCATTGATGTTAAAGCAACATGCAATGGAGAAAAATTTAAACATGGGATATATTAATATACAAGTAACCCCCGTATAACACAGGAGTTATGTTCCAAAAAATTGCCATGTTATGCATATCCGTGTTATACGAAACAAAGAACTAGTGCAAAAAGAGGGGTTAGGTTCCAAAAATTAAAAAACATGCTGTTAAATCCTTATTTATATCAGAGTTATTATTCATTTTTTCATAGGTAAAATACTTATTTATTATTTAAGTAAATATTTTACCAGAGGATTATTCATTCTATATGATGATCTCAGCATGAGCATCATCAACTGATAACAGTTTTTGGGTGCGTTCGTTAATAGCGGTCACTCTGCAATGGGAGTGTGCTGCTGTTTGTACGCATTTAGGAATGACAATGAAAGAAAGATGGTGGTGCCGGCACTATCGATAGTATCATGAAGGAGGAATCTATAATTTTAAAATGCGCTTTTAGAGGCAAAAGAAGGGTCCCAATTGTAAAATTTAACCATTAAATGGATAATTGTTGAAAGAGCATTCAAAGTAGCCACAAAAACAATTAGAATGCTCACGCAGAGTTATGCGAAGGTATAAAAGAACACACCCTTTATTACATTTCATGTTGTACGACTGTTTTACCCAATTCCCAAACCATGTTAGAGTGAACCTATGCTATAAAAGCACCATGTTATACAGGGATGTCGCAAATTTTCAGACCGTGTTATATGGGGATGTTCCCAATTCTCAAACCATGTTAGAGTGAATCCGTGCTATAGAAGTGCCATGTTATACGGGGTTACCTGTACTATTGTGAGGACCCGAACAGGGGTCGACTGAGAGGTCTGAATGAGGGGTGTCGATTTAAAATAAAGTGCTCCTTTTCAGACGCGAATGGAAAGGATTAAGTGTCTCGATTGAAAAATGCAATTGTTTTTTTTTTTTTTTTGTAAATTTCTTAAACAATGGAAAGGAATAAATTCGAGGAAAACTTGACGAGAGAGAGGAATCATATTCAGTTGCAACGTTGACCTCTCCCGCGCCCTCCATTAGGTTTCGAATGTTCACCAGGTGACAAGGAGAGACCAATGGAAAGGCGACTGAGGTTAAGAAATCTATAAAACCATGCGATTCAAGTTACAAAGGTTCTTGGTTCATAGTCTTATCCTCCTGGACATGTGTGTCCCCGCGGAATCTTGGAAAGAACATTTTGGATATAGTGGAAGCAATCTCATCTATAGCGTCACTGGATGACCTCCAGGCTTGTAAATTCATCTGAGAAAAACCACCTGAAGCAGTGCCATTCTCCCCAGGGCAGACGATTATTTCACTGTCTTCACCGAACTGTAGGAAATGGAAACATGAACTTTTCAAACTCTACTTGAACTTTATCCTCGCGCTTCGTGGTGTGAATATCCGTCAATCAAGAAAATATTGTAAGAAATTATAATTTTATTAAACGGTTTTATATATGGTAAACCTGTCTTGGTGAGTCATTCTGAACTCACATGACAGTATTGACCACTCGGCTGTCGAAAACTCCTCACCCCAATCGGCTAACCCACACTATTATTGGAATATACTAATATACTATTTTAATAATGTATTTTTTTGTACATAATTGGTTAGCTGAAAAATCGATTTTCTGAACAACCCCAGTCCCCAATTGATTCGGATAATCGATGCTCTACTGTATTTAAATGTTTCTTTCTAACAAAATATAGTTTCTGATAACTCTGTCCATATCAAATGTTATCCTATTATGGGTAAATATTTATGAGCAATTTTTAAATATTTTCTTAAAAAAATTTCCATTAATCAAGGAAATGTTATGTTTGGATAAGGATAAGATTAAAAATACTTATACTGTAAAACTGACATTCATTTAGTTAAAATAACTAAAAATTATAGGTCCTAATAGCTTGTATTTTTATTCCACTTTTAGAACTTTGAATAGAATGCAAATGCTGTCTGAGATATCATACTATTATTTAAAAATAATTTTTATATTTCATTCATTTTCATATTTATATTAAAAAAACTGATCATTTTAATTATCAACATCAACAATATAACATCAAAACAAAAATTATAAAATGAAATTTGTAATAAACTAAATGATATAAAACTATAAAGTTTCAGTAAATTAATGGTAAATATTGAAAATGAAAGTTAAAAATAATTTTCAGTGATGAATTTTAGACTTAACACTCAAAACTAAGGATATTTGAAATTATAATTAAAATATAAAACAGGATTTTTATAACAACTAATAATGAATTATGCAAATTTTTAAAGTAAAAAAGTAATCACTCACATCTGGAAATTCTGTAATGTGTCCTTCTTCTCTTGTTGATACAATAAAGTCCCAAGATAAGGCATCAAATGCTATCTAATAAGTAAATGTACTAATTAATAATTAATTAATTAATAATTTTAAATTGTATAAATACAGTAATACCTCAACTTACGCTACCCTGACTTACATGAACCCGGAGTTACACAATTTTCAAATCTCGTTGATTTGTCTTTTGTTTGAGCGCCACGCAACTCTTGATTACTCACTCCCCCCATACTATTGTTCAGCTTACATGTTCAGACGTGTCGTGTGGAATCGACACATAGCTACAATTTATTTTGTGTTATTTATTTCTGTTTGTTATATCTACGGAGACTTGAGAGAATTTATGTGGTGATTTTTTGTAACCATGAACGAATCAAAAGACGACATAAGATTAATGAGAACATTTATTAGCTTATATACATCCAACTTGGATTTTACACAAATTGCAAAATTATACCCCGACTTATGCGAATTTGACTTACGCGGTTATTGCTCAGTCCCACCTATTGCATAAGTTCGAGGTATCACTGTACACTCATATTCAAAAAATAAGTATAACCATTAATTTGGCCTGTATGTCAAAAACTAGTGGTTATAACAGTGTGAAACTTAACATATAAGCAGAATGCTTGTATGTTAAGTTTCACGCTGTTATAATCAGAATACTTTATGAAACAAAACAATTATAAAACAAAAATTTCATCTAAATTACATCAAACCAAAAACAAGAAAAAGTACTAAGCATTGTTATAAGTCTTTTTGCACAGAACATGATTAATATGACGTGTAGCTGCCTTCTGCACACACATGTGCTACATGGCAATTACTTATACTGATTATAATGTTGTTTATCAGCTTCATCATAAGCAAAATCGATCCTTGAACAAGAGTATCTTCATGCTTCTGGAGTATTTTTGGAGGAGACTGATGGCTGCTCTAAGGAGACAAGTTATACCCCTTCTCAATGTGGGTTGAAAGCCATGAAATGAAATGAAAACAGAAGACACAGACATTTGAAAAGGAATATATATATATATATATACCATTCAATTTTTTCAGTTATACAATTTGTGAATCAAACAGACTTCAGATGGTGCTGCAAAATGAAACAATATCATTGTATGTTTTGTGGCTATTATTTTTGTCTTTTTTTTTTTTTGAGTTTATTATTTCATTTGTGTTGTATTGTTTCCCAATATTATACATGTCCCCTTCCATTTCCTTCCTCCGTACCACCAGTTCTCAGCTGACAGGGTATAAGATATGGGGATTGGCCAAAGGGTTGGTCATATGGGACAGTGTAGTTTCTTCTGGCAGGGGGATATAAATACAGTGTGCATCTATGTGAGAGGAACTATTTCAGTTTTTGGAGTTTTTTTGGCTATTGAATGACACGGTGGATAGCAAGAGCTCATCAGGGGCAATGGAGGTCAGCATAAAACAAGGAAGTTCAAGTGACATTCAACCTGAAAGGAAGGGGTCAGGAAGGGCAATCATACTAGAAAATGGGAAATAACAACACCATTTAAGAATCTGTCTGCATTCAAGTGAAATACGAATGAAGGGAGAAAAAAGGAGCGACAAAAAGGAATGGACTAATCGGAGGGTCATCAAAACCTATAATTTTTTTGTTCGTATATTTTTTATTTTTCATCTTGCTTTTGTTTCTTTGCACTATTATTTTGTATTCTTGTCGGGTATTGAAGGAACCTCGCGCAGTGGAGGAAAGATAGGAGAAGGTGTAAAAGAAAATGAAACTTGTAACGGAAGCAGAATTTGTGTTATATATGTATAGACTGTAATAAGTGTGTTTAGTGTCACAAATAAACTTTTCTTATTTCACCACATGTCTTTATGCCAACTAATCATTCATCCATGATTTGTTTTTTTGTTTTGACCAACCCCACAGCCATCTTGTGCTACAGAAGTTACTACATCATCATAGTCATGGTAATCTCTTAGTTTGTTAGCACAGGCAATACAGTACAGCCTATAAAAACTGTCAATTATTAATCTATCTGATATTGGCATAAATTGGAAAGGGTCAAGACCATTAAAGAAGAAGCAGTTTTGAACACAGGTTATACAGGTATACCTCGCCTTACATCGGTAATTGGTTCCAGGAAAACGACGTAAGTCGAATTTACTTGTCTCCGAATCTACTTGTCACTAGGCTAAACCATAAATTACCATTCCCGGTTCTGTATTTTATTTATTAATGCATTTTTAATAATATATGGTTAATAAGGATCTATTTTAAGCTTACAAACAAATTTTAGTTTTTAATATAGTACAGAAAAAAGTAATCTAAATTTATGAATGCATGTACTGTAAATACAGTACATACTTGTAAATGTATATATTTTAATATGATTTTATGTGCTTTAAATGCTTTTCTAGTGATATTACGACTTCAATATTTGTGGTGGACAGACGTAAAGTTGAATAAAATGACTTAAACTTGGCTTTTATTTTTCCATGTACTTTTTTGACAAACGACGTATAATCGGGAACGACGTAACTCAAAATGACGCAAGTCGAGGTATACCTGTATTGTCATAAGGTATAAAGGATAAAATAATTTAGATTTTGTGGTTATGCACATCACCAGTAACAGCAGTCAAGTATGTTTAGAAAAGAAATATTTGTGGAAAGTTTGCAGTTAGTCTTCAAATCCGTATTATTTTTAAATATATAGTATATGGGGAGGGGAGGAGAGTGAGAATCTATATTTTGTAGAAAGATTTCCACACCATGGAAGGAGTCAACATTACGAAAGATAATGGCAGTGTGGCAGTGTTACTATGGGTGGCCTGGTATATATTTCCACTTGCTCCAGATGCTTATGGAAAGATTGATTAGATGCATTATGTAATAGGCATGCCTCATGGAATTCAACCTGGATGTCTGAGTCAGAGGTGTAGATAGCCAAAGCAGTGTTGTCCAAAACCTTTGTTGATAGACGTATGATGCTCTTTGAGGCGGGTATTTAAAAGATGAGTCACAGCACCTATGTATTTTAAGTGCCAGTTGGACCTATGATCGATTATGGGGATACTGTAGACGCCCAGTAGGTGGTGCCTGTCAGGATAATCTTTAGTGTTGCAGAGGAGGGAGAAAATTGAAGGACTTCTAAAAATGCTAATTGAAAGATATTTCTTCTGGAAATTTCTTTGTATAAGGTGGCAAGATTCTTGTTGTAAGTGACAGTTCTGTACATTGTATCATGGGAGTGATTTAATTGCAGGGTGGAAGTGGTATTGGAAAGTTGACAAATAAGGATATGTATAATGTATATTAAGAATACAATTAATTATTTTAAACAAAACAAAAAGTTGTCATCTAGTTTATACATTATTAAATTAAGAAAAAAATAATTACTAAAAATGTCTAGTAAAATGTAAAAAATAAAATTACCTTATTTATTTTAGAATATTCTTGAAGAACAGCTGTTAAAAATCCTTTAGGTTTAGTAAAAGCTGATAACCAAAACTTTATTGGAGGATGAGCCATCATTACCCATTTGTCAAAATGGCTTATCCTTTTCATTAAATCTTCAACCCATGAGCCTAATTTCTTCGAAGATGGATAAGTCTAATCATAAAAATTAATTAATGATAATAGTAATAATATAATAACTTTATCATTTCATAATAATATACATTTTAAAATAATATGCAGGTAATATACTTAAATTATTTTCTCTGAACAAAAAACTAAATAATATAAAACTATTTTGCTAGTATTTTTGGATTTCTTTAGGGAATAAGAACATAACATAAACAAAATTCTACATAAAAGTCAGAAATTAAAAAAAAATAAACATTCTGGGATATTTTAAATTCAAAAGCAAACAAAACATCCAACTGCAGTGTATCTTTTATAAAGATAACATTGTGTTGAGAAAATAAAAACTTACAAAGTTGAGTTAACATCAAATCCGATATACATGATATTCATAGGATAATCAAATATTACAATGCTTTAGGTTCCTGTTACACTCATTTTGTCTTTTTGGGCCAATTACATATTAGTTTAATTCGCAAATTTTCTTAGATGACAATCTTATCATCTGTAGACAATTGAAAATACAAGGGAGAGGGTAGTATGTGAGAAGTGCAATTATGCAACATTTTTTCATGTTGCATAATTGCTATCTTTTCCTGGTCATCTTGTCAATTGGAGTAGAGTCTGTTGACTTTCTTTGTACAGTCCGGTCATTGCTGGTCACCTTTGTGTTCTTCCTGTAATGACCACCATGCAATGGAACATTCTAGAAGCTTATAAACAAAGGCTCCATAACTGACAATTTAATTTTATATACAGAAATGACGAGCGATTGTCACAACATAATCAAAAATTTTTCTCTAAACTAAACCATATACTGACAAGCCAAAACATTAAAACCAACTATCTAATATGTTGTGGGTCTTCCTCTTGCCAATAAAAGAGCCTTTATTGATGAGGCATAGATGCAATGAGATGCTGGTAAGTAGCACTTGGCATTTTATACCATGTCTGAAACAGTAGATACTGCAGTTCCCATAAATTATGGAGTTCAGGTGATGCAATTTGTAACTGTTTATCCAAGGCATCTCGTAAGTGTTCAATGGAATTCATGTCTGGAGAATTGAAAGACCATTTCATTAAAGTGAATTCCCCCATCATGTTATTGGAACCATTCCTGAACATTCTTTGCCATATGCATGGTATGTTGTCTTGTTGAAAGATGCCATCACTGACAGGAAACACAGCTACCATAAACTGGTGTATTTTATCTGCAACAATTTGCAGGTAAGTGTCAGTTTTCAAACTTTCTACTACAGGTATGAGGGGTCCTAGTGCACCTCAAGAAAATATTCTCCAGACCATCAAATTCCCACCACCAGCCCGGATATATCTCATGTTGCATCCAGCTGCAAAAGCTTCCTTGGGCAAGAGGCACACTCAAGCTCTCCTGTCTATTTGGTGCAATAAAAATCATGATTCATCAGTCCATGAAGAGGGGGGTCCTCTTCCAATCATCAATGGTCCAATGTCTATAATTGCATGCCTACTTCAGGCATTTTTGATGAAGAATAATGGTAAGCATAAGCACACAAAATAGGCCAGTGGTTACTGATATCCATATCAATAGTTTATAATGTGTAGATCCATATCTATTGTGTGTACAGATACATTGGTCCTATCAACAAGTTGAAATTATGGGTAATATCCTTCATAGTATCTCTCCTGTCTCTATGGACAAAATGAGCAGGCTTCTTGCTGACCTCTGGCATCAATGAGGCATGGCTGTCCAATGCCTTGCTGACAGCTTGAGGTTTACCTGTTTTACATCATTTTTTGTACATACTAACTACTGTATGATGAACAGCCTGCCAGCACCACTGTTTTTGAAATGCTCTTACCTGGTCATCATGCCATAATAATCTGCCCTTTGTTGAACTCTGATAAATCTGTTCTTTTCCACATGTTATGGCAAAATGAAGTATTGATTGCAAAAGCACTGACCCAGGTTTTACTCATCCTCTTCTTGACCTTGACACATGCCAAACTTTTTCTGTGGATGCATGAATTTACATATTGCACAGGTGGTTTTAATGTTTTGGCTTGTCAGTTTATTTTACAAATTGTTGTTAAGTCACTGTTTATTATAGTGAGGTTGTACAATAAAAAACACAAACAAGTAAAAAACAATAACAAACAAGTGCTGAAGTAATATAAAAACCTTTATGGCAACTTAACTATCAGAAACAATATACATACATGAGAACCTCGTTAACACGGACGTCAAGAGTATATGCTAGAAGATGTTCAATGTTAAGTCAAGAAACTTTAAATGTAATAGTACTTTTAATCATAAATATATTTTAAACTATAATGTTATTTTAACAGTAAAACAATTTTAACTGTAAATAAGTAATTTTAAACAGAATGTATGTGTGTCAACACCACCTATACGAAATTCTGGAAGTCATGCTGACAGATGAGGGGCTTATGCCTGAAATGTGTATCAGCCTATAGGATATTCTGAATAATGATGATGTAGAAATGCCCTGTGTCTATCTAGGCACCTAGTCATGACGATAAAAACACAAAATATACATACTTTTATTAAGAGGACTTTTATGTAATATAATGCAAACACCAAATAATAACTAGCAACTCTGTTTGAAACAGTGGGGAACTTACCCAGTGAGAGAAAAAGCCCCTACCAGATCATCTCCAATAAATATCAATCTTTATGCCATTATCAGTTTGGATTCATCTATAAACCAAACTATATCCTATAAACGAAAGGTAACTCTACCTATATGTCAATCAAGGTAAGAAGGAAAGGATATCAAAAAGCATGTATCAAACAACTCAAAGTAGCATTCTATCAAAAACCATATATCAAATTTTGATAGAATGCTACTTCCTTTGTCATGTCCCTCTGTAGAGCCAAATGTCCAACAGTACTTGATCTAGAAATAAGTTGATCAGTACACTCAAGCCTATAGTAGTCTTCTTGCCTCAGTCTGAATGGACAAGTATAAAGAGTGAAGACTCAATAGGACCTCAAGAGAATTACATGGAGTCATTGATATGGCCCTAATAATAGCAAGGCATGCAGTATGCTACAAACTTTACAACTTTGACAATCCTTGAAAATCATCCTAGAACACCAAAATTAAAGCAGCAAAAGTTTATTTTAGATTGAACCACACAGTAAAAATTCAAAAGAGTGGTGATAGACCCAATTTTCCCAAAATATGTCTACATACCAGAAGATACACTGGTCTTATCTAACACCTTCTCAAGGTTTATAACAGAATAGAGTCAAGTAATAACTCAAAGTACTTGATCAAAGAGGAAAGAGAATCAGAGAAGGGATTCAAAACTCATGAGTAAAAGGAATAATAACAGTTTTGTCAAGACTTCAATGCTTAAGCTGTCACACCTGCACCAAGTCGGTACACAAGTCAGTCCTATTTGAAGAAGGACTGATAGAGTACTAAGAAATTCTCTGTGCAAAGCAAGAAAATATTCTCTTTATAACCCTGGGTATACAACTCAGAACTGTTAAGGTCCCTCAGCAGATAATCTGCAATAAGTGCGAAATAACATCATCACCTTGAGGGAAGCTTTGCATAACATACACTCTCAAGTAAAATCACTGTATTATGATGGCATAACAAGGAGTCAAAATGACCAAACAGGAGCAGGACAGATCCATATTAAAATGTAGCATTTTTGATAGCCTCAGAAGATATCCTATTGAAAGCTTGAATTTGGAAAGTACAGTCGACCCCCCTATAATGCAATAGATACGTTCCACTTTATAAGAATTTCACATTGTAGGAATCCTTAAATACATGAGCCAATCACAGCCAGGCACGTGTGCAGTTTACAGACTATAGCTGTTTGAAAGGTTTTCTTCCATAAAATTAATAGATTCTAGACTAATTTGACTGAACATTTTCAAAACATGTATAATTTTTGGGAATAATCTGTATAAACTATGCTATAAACAAAAAATTGTAGGATTATTTACCAAGTGTGCACCGTTTGACGACGCCATTGCTTAAGCTTGTTTTCGTTGTGGAGCAGTGCACCAAACGGCGGGCGCATTTTCTGACAAGTTATTTTTCTGCAAAAAATTCGTTGAACTTTGGAGATATCATTAATAGAAATAATTTTTATGGCTGTTGAATAAGAAATGTTTTTTTCACAAGAAATGTATAAAATTACAGTACTGTATTAGACTTACAGTACCTAATTTATATACTGTAAACTCAACTTATCCACCTAATTTACTCAAACTCAACTTACCCACCTAATTTACTCAAACTCAACTTACCTACCTAATTTATATACTGTAAACTAAACTTACCCACCTAAACTCTCCGTAGCATGTAAGTAGTTCAGCTGCTTGTCCACTATTGGTCCAGATTCGACCAATCCTGTCACGACACGAGTCGGCGATGACGTTTTACCGCATTTTACGAGTCTCTTTTAGCGTCTTTATACAAATGCAGTCACAATTATTTCGCCACGATATACAAATCTGCATTATATGAACCCGCGTTATAGGGGGGGTCGACTGTACCTGAATCTGTTTAATAAGAAAAAAATCCAGTTCTCAGTATGATGCTTCTTACTTTGGCATTTATGGATGTTTCTCTTACTCATTAATTGGACCCAGCCTTAGCACTCAGATGAGAAAATCCCAACAAGACACCAAAACATGGATCACCAAGCCTCCACCACAACAAGATAGAGATAATGAGGGTTGTGAAACTAAATAATAATCAATATATTTTAACAACTATTTTTAACTGTATTTTAACAAAAAATATTAACAATATTATCTCACAGATGCAAAAAGATCTTTCTATATTTCTTAAATTCGCTCCTTCTTTACTCTATGATCTTAGCTTTATCCTTTGTGGTTGCAACTTCCCATCATATATATATATATATACATATATGATGGGAATCTGCAATATATATATATTTTTCGGCTATTCTTCTGCAGTGGGGAAAAAGGGTTGGCAACCTGTCGAATGCACAGGAGGGGTATTTAAGACGACATCGACTAGTTATGAGGCTTTTTGTTTTTTCCTCTTCAGGAGGTTGGTAAATTGTACGAAGCATTGGTTAAGTTGAGGACAGTTTTCAGGTGCATGAGGCACAGTACAATCGGAATCAAGATCCATCAACAATTTATGTCTCGGATTTTTTTCATGGATCTCACACAATATTTAGTGCCCTTCAAGTGATGTGTGTTGTTGAATATTTATAAGGAAACATTATCATACATTGTGAAATATTCTTCTCTACTGTGGTTTCTTTGTTCCTGCAACGAATTGGATTATGGCGTATGAACTATCTGTGACTATAGTATTGTAACAGTGAGAACTTTAAGTGTGCATATAATTGTATCTTGTGAACCTATATATATATATGTACAATTACATATATTTTTGTGGTGTATATAAACTTATTGTTAAATTGCCTCTTTGTGCCATTTCCCCACGTGGTAAGTCACCTACACCTACAATTAGTGAGAATATTAAGTCTTATGATTTTCCACAATCCCAAAATATTTTAACATAATTTCTTTTATTCCTTCTAAGCTTAACTTGACTTGCTAAATCCCTCTTATGATATTCCATTCTAGTTCTAAACACTCTTATTGTCACTCTCACATAAGTCTCTCTTTTTCCAGTTAGAATCATACATACGCCTTCTCTATCTAAATGATTTAACTTTAATTTTATTGTTTGTAAATAATCAAAAGATATCATTTCTTTTATAAACTGACTTTATTTCTTTCTGTAATCTATGTCCAAAGCAGGAAACAAAGTGTAAAGATCTTTCTTTTTTTTTTTTTTTTTATGTTCTGTTCTGTCTTCTCTTTCTTGTTTTTAATTTCCATTGCAATTTTTTCAAAGATGAAAATCTTTGAGAAATTGCAATTTCTTTCTCATCTCATAGTTTAAAGTTACTAGTTCTTCATCAAATGCCTCTCAGGTTAATGATAATTGAAAGACTTTATTTACCAGCACTCTAAATATGGAAAGCTTATATGTTGTTGGATCAAACAATTCTTTGAAAGTTATATAAATATTGATGATAATTTTCCTCTATACAGTAATTGTGTTCAAAACTCACTTTCACACTTATAAACCCATAAATCTAAAAAATACATTTTTTTTTTAAAATAAAAATTGAATTTTAACATGGCCAACGGTAATTTAATAATAATATAATAAATATAATATAAATATAACTTTTAACAAAGATGAAACTTTGCTTCAGTCTTTCTTTCTGTTTTTTTTTTTTTTTTCCTAAATTTTCTTCCTTTAACTTAAAATCCAAACTAACATGAGAGAGAAATCATAATGTCCTCAATTCCATGTTTATCTATTCAAGTGATTAAAAGAACATTTATATCTAATCATTTTAATTCTAACTTTTAGTAATACACACTTCCTTACTTTTTGCACATAGAAATAGTACATTATTTGATTATGCAAACAATAAAAAAAAGTTAAATCAGTTGGATAAAACTGGTGTATGTATGATCCCAGTTGGAAAAAAATAGAGTGATTTATGCAGAAGTGATAACAAGAGTACTTAGAACTAGAATATAAGAGCATAAGAGGGATTTGAGGATTGGAAAGATAGCAAGTTATGTTAAGCTTAGATAGAATTTAAAAAATTGTTAAAATATTTTGGGATAAAATTAAGATCAAAGAGTAAAGGAGAGAATTTAAGAAATATAGAAAGATCTTGATGTATCTGTGAGAAAAGCACAGAAGAAAAAATTATTAATAATAAGAACATAGAAAGTTTTTAATGATGGGCTATAGTGATGGTACTGTAAAAAGGTGTCTGCTGTCACTGTCATTATCCATAAAGTTAAAAAAATGAGGCATGCTGCAATAATGTCAAAGAAGCTATTTGAGGCTGCAGTGTGAACTTAAAGTAGTTCAGCAACTTTGTGTATAGAAGTAATTTCTTTTACCTGAGTATAAAAAAACATTTTAAATAGAAGCAGTTGAGGCCCAAAATTAGGCAAAATGTCAGAGGGGTAACAATTCTGATCCATCCAGAATATTTTTATCAGATGATGTGATAAGATATGCAGGTGATAAGCACTTAAAAAGTGTACATAATTGTCAAATGGATTCAAATCTAATAGTTAATTGATTAATTATAAATCCAAAAATGTTTTTTACAAATGTTTTTACAATTTTTATTTTGCCCTTTCTAACTTGGTGCTCTCATGATTTGTGCACCCACAGCAGTTTGCTCCAACTGCTCCACGGTAGCTACTCCTCTGGGAACATCTCTCATCTTCTATTTAATTAACAATTGTAACATGAATGAAGTCAAATCTTTTGGTTAGTTCAAAAATCCTTTGACACCATAATTATGGCTACATCTTGATTGGCTAAGAAGTAGTTACACAACTGGGCTAATGACTGGTCTGGTCAAAATATCATTGTTTTGCTTGAGTAAAGATGTGAAGAAAAAAAAAATATATTATATTGCTTTTTTTCTGTACATCAGAATATGAAATTTGAAACATTGATATTTTCTATTGTCATCATTCTGTTTTGATTATATTTCTTTGCTAAATTATAAAATTTATTTTTGTAATATCTTAATTTTATAATTATTTTATTATCATATTCTCATTAACAACTTACATTGTAATTTATTTATCTTACAAACATGTTTATGTTTTTAATCTCTCAGTATTTATTTTTATTAAAATTAAAATCTATATTACATAATAAATATTCAATTTTTTGCTTACCTTTTTCCATATTTTAGGAACCTTCTTCAGATAAAAATCATCAAAAATTTCTTCTAATTCTTCAGATAACAACTTTTCACCTTTAAGTCCATGTTTCAAATCTTGTAGAATGTATTTGATAATACATAACAATTTATTATAATTTTCAATCTGAAAAAATGAAATTTAATATTATCATAATTTCCTGTCTATAATCCACAAATGTAATGATTTGTCATAAAAAATAAAATAAAGCAAGTTTATCATTATATAATAAGAATGAATTTTCATTTACAAAATGTTTATTGACACATAATTTGTGTCATTTATTGCTTTTTTGGTATATCAGCAATTTACACTAATATTTATTATTATTAATTATTATACAATTATTTAAGAAATAATGCCATTTGTAAGAACATTTCATTAAAAAAATACAGTGGATTCCGCTTAATTGGGCCAAATCTCAAAGAACGGAAACCAAACTAATAAACTAATACATGATTTAAACATTTAATTGGGACAGTAGAAGAAAATTAATTTAGCAGTTTTTTATATATTTTAGGGATCTTCTGAAAATACTGTATATCAGCAGTACATACACTAATGTCATTTAGGCCTAACGGTTAGCAGAGACAAAGCAATTGTCTTTTGCTCGAGTAATTCAGTCTTTCCAGAGGGGAGTCAGCATAGCAGAACATATCACACCACGATCTTGTCTGAGGCTGACCTGAATTCGAGCTACTGACCCTGCTTAGGATTGGATCATCATTGGTCAATATATTCACAAAATTTAAAACAATGGGATCAGTTAAAAATTCATAAAAATTTTTGTTGTAAATTCTAAAACTTAATAAAATAATTTCTAGATTAAAACCAAGTAAAACTACTTTCTCTTATCCGACTTCGAGTGATTTATTTTAGCAGACAAACAAACAAAAAAAATTTTTTATGATTGGTCAATTTGAGCTGGTAACGAATGCTGCCGAGGAGAGATCATTGAGGAACACAATTGGTTAAATTTGAATTGGTGGCACATACATCTCAAGGAAGAGACCATTGGCAAAAAACATCACACAATGTGGCGGACCTAGAATAAAGCTATAACCAGCAAAACTGCTCATTGGTCAGCTGTCAGCTGTCGACAACTATATAAGCTCTGGTTATTGTGCTGAATAAAATATATCTGTATCTGTAATATATATAAGCCTGATGTAGAAGTGGGAAATTCAAGTTTGGATTTGTCATGCTGACTGTCTCCATCTCTTAAATCTTTGCCAAGATGCCAAGAAATGATTTTACATTTTCAAGTAAAATTATTTTGCTGTTTAAAATTAAAAGCCTGCCATTGGATACAAGACCATCATAGACTTACTGATATAACTGGTGTACCAAAATCTACCATTGTGTATCTCCTACAACAAGAAAATCAAGTGTGTGAGGAGTGGGCATTACAAAAAGAAATTCCAGGAACATCCAAAAGAAAGCATGATGGAAAAGATCTAGAAGTTGAAGAAGCATTAGATTGACGGTTTTCTATGGTTAGCAGATGAGGTGTAAATATCAGCATCCAGTGTTGAAGGCAAAGCCAGAGGAAACTGCTAAAAAGCTAAGCCACAATGATTTTAAAGCAACTGATGGTTGGTTGTCTCAATGGAAAGCAAGACACAATATCAAATACAGAAAAGCACATGGCACAAAGGGCAGTGCAGATAACGTAAGTGCTGAACAGTGGCAAAAAACTAAAATCCCTACTTTTTTAGAGAATTTTTGTTCAGATGATATTTACAACGCTGATGAAACCGGCCTCTATTATAGTGCTACGTTAGATGGCTCCCTGTGTTATAAGCCTATTGCATAAGAGAGCAATGGACCGCATTACTGTGTTATGTTGTGCAAATATGACAGATACCAACAAATGAAAACTACTAATTGTAGGAAAAAGTGCTAAGCCTTGATGCTTTAAAGGTATAAGAATAGAGAGTTTACCAGTAGAGTACCATGCCAACAGTAATGAGTGAAATTTTTCGGAAATGGCTTACGAGTTGGGACATAGATTTAAAACGTAAGCAAAGGAAAATTTTGTTGCTTCTCAATAATTGTGCTGCACATCCTGATTTAGATAATCTCAAAAATATAAGGCTGGAATTTCTTCCTTCTAATACAGCATCCTTAGTGCAACCTATGGACATGGGGGTAATGAAAAATTTAAAGATGTTGTATCGAGGAAAATTGATAAATTATATACTGGAATCTATTGAAGAAAACCTAATGACAAGTTCATCAACAGTCAGAGAGATCAGTGCAAAAATTTCCATTTTGCAAGCCATACAGTTTGTCACTGACAGTTGGTGAGCTATAAAAAGCAGCACAATACAAAACTGCTTTGTATTGTGCTGCTTATGCGGTTTAAAACCTTTGAATGTTTCTGAAATTTTGAGCAGTGAGGAAAATGAAGGCATGCTGCAAGTTCTTATCATCAATAATGAAGAATTTTCAACAATAGATGACAATTTACCGTGTTACGATGAAAATAAAAACTTTGAGGATGCAATTGTTATGTCATCAAATTCTTCAAACATCAAAAATTTGACAAAAAAGTGATGATGATAATGACCCACCTGTGCTTGTGACAAATCATGAGGCAAAGAAATTTATATTTGGATTACAGTGTTATTTTATGCAAGAAGGCAACAAAGAAAGCCCCACATCTGCACTGAATATCTGTGCTGATTTTGAAGAACTGCAAAATTTTAGAAGTAAAAAACAGACTACTGTGAGATCAGCCGGGGGTACTACTCCACTGTGATAATTAGTACCACTTAATCGGCGCTAGTTTGTAAAACTAGTTCTCTTGGTTTCGGATCTTGTGATCCAATCCTATGTCAAGATTTTGACCGGGAGGGCTTTTGTAAGAGATCCAAATTGTAGGAGTCGGATCTCTTCGTCAGGATGCTGACACCAGTTAATCACATTTATCTTCCGCGGATTAACACGCAAATAGGGATCTGATTCAGGAAACAATCCAGAGACATGTCTTAAATAGTAAAGTAGTAAAAGTTAATATATCTAAAAATAACAATATTCTACAAAAAAGGGAATTAGATTAACAATCAAATCAAACGATCAAGATGACGAATAAATTACTCAAACGCATCTAGAGAGAAATATTCTTAACCTATACATTTACGAGAGAGAGAGCTCACAATTCCTTAAATAACATACAACCTGTTAAAGGAGCTTTGTCTTCTTCTTATTGGTGAAGGTCCTTCATTGATAACTCAGGATTAACTTGATAGGGGACGACTATGGCGTTGGTCTGCTGGCATATGTGTGGAGTCCTTTCCACTCTCCGATCTACGGATGAACTCTTAAGGGCGTTGGCCTTAGAGAGCAATTGAGTGGAGTCTTCCGAACGCTAAATTTGGAGCTGATTGCCACTTATCATTTATCTTAACACAATTCTCGAGATTAGTCGAACTTGCTGAGGTAACCCTTCACAATAACAATGTAATTAATGAAACATTATCTGGATTAGTAACAAAGGAAGATTTATTAAGATTTACAGAAACTCAAAATAAAGAAACTAGCAAAATTATGAAGGATATTCAATATACCATGCTTACCAATAGGGAAAACATATCAGATGATTTTAGTGGAGGCAACGACTCTTGTCCTTCGAGTTATAGGGATGTTCTAAAGAAAGGATTAAAACCAATTCTTAATGTAAGTGAGCCGCCTCCGCCAAAATACACAGTACTAGTTTATAGCAATAAGAAAGAGGCTACTTGTGAGGAGACAAAAAAGCAATTAACAGACAATCTGAATCCTGGAGTGTTAGGTATAGGAGTACGAAATGTTAGAAAAATAGGAAATGGAGGTATCGCTGTGGATTTACAACACAAAAATGAAGTCAAATATTTTAAAGAGAATGCAGAAAAAATTCCTAATCTAAGTGCAAAATTACCTAAAAAAAGATTACCTCTGATAAAAATAGCATCAGTACCTAAATGTGTAGCTAAAGAAGATCTAATCTTACAAATTTTTGAGCAGAATGGATATCTATTAGATACTTTTACTGATAGAATCTTTGCTGAACAGGTACACATTAAGTTCTCATTAAATGAGAAGAATACTGAAAATGTCTCCTGGGTACTGGAAGTAACTCCAGAGATCAGACAAAAGATGATAAAAGCTGGGAAAATTTATCTACAATGGTCTTCATGTCGTGTTTATGACTACATTCCAGTAATACAGTGTTACAGATGTCTATCTTTCCATCACTTTGCTAAACGTTGCCCTGAAAAAGAAAATATATGTAGTCACTGTAACGAGAAGCATCTATTTAAATGTTGTCCGAATAAGCAGAATCCACCCAAGTGTATTAATTGCTCCCGAGGAAATTTAGACAATAACGATCATAACACCATGGATAAAAATTGTCCAGTTTATATTAAAGAGAAAGCTAGACTTCAACAGATGACTTTATACAGTTGATATATATTCGTGATGACTACATTGTTGATATACTTTTGTATTGACTGCATTATCTTCTACTATGTTTAGCACTTCTCTCTTTAAATGTGAATTCTCTGTTTGATAATTGATTGTCGTTAATGCTTCATATGTAGCTAAAATATTTAAGATGTCATGCATCATATGTGATTTCTGTGATACTACGTACCATAATATAATTGAAATATGTAATGTGTAATTATGATATATTCTAATATTGAACATATTGTTCAATTACTTTGTACTTTACTATGACACTGTACCTTTAACTTTGTTCTCTATTACATGAAATTTAATTTGTATTTATTTGATTATATTTATTTTATTGTTAATATTTCCATTATATATTACATATAATCTGTATTAATTATTTCTGTATATTATGTTTATTTATTATATATAATTTTACTCTGTATTCTATGTTATACAATGCATTGAATTATCGTTATATATCTTGTATATTTAATATATTCCTGGTAATGCTAATTGTGGGGCCAGGAAATGTGTATTAACACGTTGAATAAAATGAATGAATGAATGAATGAATGAATGAGTGGAGTCTGGTCACTCTCGGATCTGCCGACGAACTCCTCGAATTCGGCTGAACTTTGACTATATCTTAGGATTTACGACCAATTATCATTTGAGGCTTCATCCACGTGAACGGATGGAAAGG